AAGCTGAGTACTGTGTTGACACTTTTCTGCTGAAGATCCATACAATTGGAAATTTGTGTGCTGAATTCTCTCCTACCTAGGAGGAAAATTATTTGTTATTAACTACTGATTCCTGTAACAAGTTTTTCATCTTAAAATCCACTGACAAGCAGTCATTCTCAAGTTCCACTTTTTCCTCAGATATTGTCATTAGCCACGATTTTATCATAGAATCGTAGAATCACAGAATGGTTTGGGTTGGAAGGGACCTTAAAGATCATCTAGTTCCATCCTCACTGCCATGGGCAGGGACACCTTCCACTAGACCAGGTTGCTCAGAGCCCCATCCAACCTGGCCTTGAATGTTGTCAGGGATGGGGCATCCACAAGGTGTCTGGGCAACCTGGTCCAGTGCCTCACCAACCTCATAGTGAAGAATTTCTTCCTTAGATCTAGTCTAAATCTACCCTCTTTCAGTTTAAAGCCTTTACCCCTTGTCCTATCACAACAGGTCCTTGTAACAGGTCCCCTCCAGCTTTCTTGTAGGCCCCCTTAGGTACCGAAAGGCTGCAATAAGGTCTCCCTGGAGCCTTCTCTTCTCCAGGCTGAACAACTCTCTCAGCCTGTCTTCATAGGAGAGGTGCTCCAGCCCCTTGATCATCTTCGTGGCCCTCCTCTGGACTCAATCCAACAGGTCCAACCTTCTTCCTTTGGGTTGTAGTGTTTTCTTTCAGCTGTAAATTTGCTTTTTTAAAACCTCTAATAATGAAGTGCATCTTGTCTACAACATGATGATGATGACCTAGTCCTTATTTTAAGAGAGTTCTAACCGTGTATATATGCCTCATAGTCCAAATGACTCCAGAAGTCTTTACCTGCTGTAACACACCATTTCAGTTATCCTTTAGATAATGTACTGGCATCTTACTGCAAACTTCAGGAAAACAAAATGTGTCAGCTAGCTCCCCAGTGCTTTTAAAGCTGTTCAGCTAGCCTCCCATGAGACTTTGTTGTAAAATCTACAGTGCACAATTAGTTATGAATTTTACATCTTTTTAGCATTCATGGCTAGACCATTAATGAGGGAATAAATAGCAGAATTTTATTTAATCCCACACATTGCTTGGCGTAAATTATTAAACAAGGGACACACAGCCATTCTGTCCCCTTTGGCAGTGGGACATCCATAGTGGTCTGGATGCAACATCCCTTCTTCCAGATAGATGGGCACGGTCCATCCACAGATACCTGTGGATCTAATGTGGATCTAAATCCCTGTTAACTTGAAAGGAATAAAACTGGAGGGAAAAACAGAATGTTCACCTCTTCTAACTTGAAAATTCTTCAGTGTAACTGTTTACATGAAAGTGAATAGGCTGTCTTGTATCAGTGGAGAGAAAGAAATATTTTGGGGTGCAATTTATTTGACCAAAGACAGATATTTACTCTGGAATGAGATAACTATCCAGAGCACATAAAGATAAATGCTTATTTATTTTCATTGGCGTCAGATGCAGACAATTCTACTTGGTCAAAAGAATTCTGCCCTTTATCCCCAGGCTATGCACTTAACAGACAGTGTATCATTGCTGGGCTGTAATATCAGTTCTGTCATCCTTACTAGTCTCACTTACTCAGTGAGACTATTTACATATTAAAGTATTACTCAGCATGAGTAATGGTGCCAGCACTGAGGTTATGTTGCAAGTAGAGAGAAGAGATATTTCCATTAGCACTAAACCTTATCTCAGAAAAATCACTGGAGATTGGCACTTCCCAGAGGTTCTGCTTTCTTTTGATTATCCTCCCTTCTTCTAATAATTGACTCCAAGCAGTTCAGCTTCTGTTATTTGGTGGAACAGAATCTGTCTTTTCAGAGATTTATTCATGAAGTCGCAAGAAAGTCTGTGCTTAGGTATCAGGTTGTCTGTGTAGATCACAAGCAGATAGATTACTGGACAGTTGAGGGAGTTAGGGATAATGTCATGGGATATGGGAGAGTGTAACTAACTAAAGATAATGCAGTGGTGGAGGCGGTCATATATGAGACACCGAAGAATGAAGAGAGGGAAGAACTAGGTAAGACTAGGAGACTTCAAGAGATAGAAAGTGGATGTGCAATCTGATGAAGAAAAACTCAGTTAAAATCTCTGATGGCCCATCCACTTCCTTGAGCTGGACACCCCATTCTGATTTGCAGTGGTTTTGTGATGAGTAAACTTATTTAATACTTTCCTCTGAAACTGGAAAAGGAGGAACATGATTTAGGTGACATTCAACTTGTATTCGGTTTGGCATGACAACTTTACCCTTGGATGAAAAAGATTTGGATATTCTATCATATGATATTTCCTCTTCTCTGCACCATGTGGGACCTCTGCCACTGACAGTTCTGTACTACCATGCCAATCTGGTACCACTAGGATCGTTTCCTACTAAAAACCCGGCATCTGACTGAGCCTAACTCAAATCCCCAGTTAAGGCAAGCATAAGAATCTGATCAGGACATGAAAAAGAAACCACAGAAACCTAGCTTCTGGGCCTTGTCCCATGGCCATGAGTTATCCAGGGCCAGATTTTGCTCTAATAGTGTCATGAAGATGGAAAATCTAGAAAGTCAATAGAAGCAAATCACTTAAAGTGAATGTACATGTAGAGCCCAAGCATTCACATATACTTGAATTGCAGGTTAAAAATATTTTTCTCCAAAATATGGAATGTTTATCAAGATAGGAATGTATCTGCATCACCATATAAATTATTACTACACAGTTCCTTATGGCCATATGAATAATCATCAAATCTGTGTATATTGTCTGTGCACAAGCACAGGTCAGTAAAGGATTGACTTATATCAACTGCAGTTATTCTAATAGGATTCTTCATTTCTAATCCCCTTAATAACGATGTATTACTGCACTGTTTAGCCTCACAGCTCACTCTAGTTACTCAAATTATATTTTAACAGCGTCTTATTTCATTTCCATATCTTAACACTCTACCACTGGCTCCTTGACTCGTGAACTTTCTTACTATATATTAGTTTCACCTAAAACATCATTTTGCATGTCAAAACGATTGTACACTCAGCATGGAGCCTCAGCAAACATAATAAGGTAGATGAGCTTTTCTCAAGTATCACCTAATGTTGAAGGAGTCCAGATTTACCTGTTTTCCACCTTTGAAACACTGTATGCAGTGATGGTGAACTCAGTATTCAAAAAGAGATAGAACTTTGTTGGCTTTTTGCTAGCATTTCTGTTCTTCACATGATACTCCTTAACTCATAGATTGTGCAGCCAAAAGGAACCCTTGCAATTCCCTGTCTAGCCTTGAGCAAAAACCTACCCAGATTAAATTTCTATTTGAACTTGAGTCTTTTGAGGGAGAAGGAATCTTAACCCTCTGTAACAGAGAGTTCACCACAAACACTACAGGAGCTACTCTGGCTGTTTCAGTAGTCTTACTACTGAAGTATATGCCTATTTCTATGTTAGAATTTGTCTAGTTCCTTCTCACAGCCATTGATTCTTATTATACCCTTGTCTTCTGGCTTGAATTGTCCATTACCAAAATTATGCTCCCTTCAGAGGTACTGTAGACTGTGATCAAGTCAATCCAGTAACTTAGCTGTCCCAAACTCCTAGGTCTTCCACAGTAAAGCATATTTTGACTGTAGCAGAATGCAATTATTCTTCTCAGACACTCCAAGCATGAATTTCATTGCAGAGTCATAAAGCATGGTTTGCTCATAGTGATAATATTTAATTTCAGTGTTAATTTGTCGTTCTTCTTCTTCTGTAGCCCCATCCTTTTCTCAGGAGGGAAAGCAGCAGTGCTTTCCTTCGATATTTTGCATTCAGGCTGTCTTAATCCATGCCACAGATGACTTGTGGCTGGCTGGCACTTTGTATAGCTCCTACAAGCTCACTAGAGGGAAGGCTTGCCTTGACATACATCACAGTTCAGCTGTCTAAAGCCAAAGGAGGTACCTACACAAATTTTGGTGACGGTACCATACAGGTTCTTGAAAAGGATGAACTTGAGATGCTTCAAACGGTGCTCCACGGTAGGCCTAAACAGAAAAATAACTAGGCTCAGTGAAGGTACTGCTAATTAACATCACTGTGAAAGAAGAACTGCTAGTTCATTCTCTAAATGGGAACATGGCTCTTGTAACAGGTTAAAGACTGATAGCACTATTCTTTTAAGCAGGCAAAATATCCATTAAAAGTATAACCACTGAGATGCCACTTCACGGCAGTAAGATCTATGAGGGTTTTGCTTGCCCGAGGTATACCTGATTAGGTGCCAAGTCAGTTCTGTTCCTTAGCCACCAGAGGTCATACAAAATAACAGTGGGAATTCAACAGAGAGTACAAAAACAATTCACAATTTATACCGATACCACGGCCTGCACCTTACTCTAGCGGCATGTAGCACTAAAGTAGAGGACATGTATTTAAAGGTCAAAGCCCCTCCCTGCCATGCAGTCTGTCCGTGCAGTAGACCCACGGACACTACGCTGTGTCAGTCGCAGCCCGCCGGGGAGGTCGGAGGATGAGAAAACCACGGTGCAGCTCCCGCCCAAGCAGCGATGTGAAGAGCTGCCAAGCAGTCGCAGAGCAGCGATCCACCCTGTGCCCACCGTGCATGCATTCTTGCAAAAACCACCCCCAAGCCCTGCTGCCAAGAAATGTTGGCAGTAAATAAATAACGTTAAAGCAAAAACGTTTCCAGGATGGTTAATGAGCTATGGAACAAAGTTAGGTGGGAATTTATCCCTCCCTCGCAGCATTAAGGAGATAATGCAGTAAGTGTTTTGTACCTTTTTCCATCAGGAACACTTTGCAATCATACAGGAGTTTTTCTATAGTGGAAATTAGGACTTTGTTTAAAAACAAGCTGTTTATTGCAAAAGGTTTTTCTTTTTTTCCGAGTCTTAAATTTGTGGGATTAAAATCTGTAGATAACACACTGAACTACCCTCCTTAGCACTACTTCTTCTCTTGATTACTTAGATCCCTATGTGAAGATCCATCTGATGCAGAACGGTAAGAGGCTGAAGAAGAAAAAGACTACAATTAAAAAGAACACTCTGAATCCCTACTACAACGAGTCTTTCAGCTTTGAAGTACCATTCGAGCAAATTCAGGTAATTGCAAACAGTGTTTTGTCTTCCCTCTGCATTCCATTTCTCAGTCCTTATAAATATTTAACAGGAATCTTGTTAATTATCACGTGTGCATGCCTTCATTAGCACCTAGGTGCCAGCCCTGTGCTACATTAGATGAGTGTGACTGCTTCAAGAGGGAAATGATAAAAGGCACAGTACTTAGAATGCTTTGATTCATCAGTGAGAAATGGGTAACTGACATTTTCTGTTAACAGAAATGGATTCTGAAAAAAAAAATCCACAGGGAGATAGCGAAGGAATGTGCCAGCAAAAAAAGTATGGGGATAAAAGAAAAGGCATATATAGCAATTTTCCCCAAATTATTTGAAATAATAAATTGGCATCATCAGTCATATTTGTGTTCCTTGTGCATTTGTCAGCCCTGTTTGTTGAAAGTACTGCAGCATCCCTCCTAAGTAAAACATGTAATTCAATCAGTTTTTTTTCAGTTACCACACCATGAAAACTTTTTTGGTGATTCCTATGCTCCTTGGAAACAGGCATTTGAGAATCTCCGGGGTCAGTACTGCAGTGCCTGTTTTCTTGGCACCCCAGGGGGGCTTTAGCAGTTGTCCAGGTGCTACTCCTGAAGACTTCAGTGCCTAAAATCAGGGGCCTCAAAAGTCAGCACAGTGAGCTGGAAGTCACCTACATTAGCAGTGGAAAATACCAGGATGAGGCATCATGCCATTTTTTTCAGGGACTCAGTTACCTACCTTTGGGCTACTGCGAGGCAAATCATCTCTCACTCATGAGAGTGAGATTTAATGTCTTCTGACGTTAACTGACCACAAGAGAGAAGGTCTTTTTAACCACCTCAGGAGGCATGTGGGAAACCCGCATCCAGTTCGCTCCCCTCCCTAAGTGAATTTGAACCCGTATCTTCAAGGTCTTAAGCAAGTGCGCTTGTCACCTGTGCCTATGGCTTGTGTTGGCAGTGCAACATCATTTCTGCATAACTAAGTATATGACTGGCCACAGAGCATAAGATCACCTGTTAGTTGGGTGGAAGTTTACTTGGAAGGGGAGAAGCTTTGGTCTCTGGTCTGATCTAGGTAATGTAAACCACATAACGATCAGTTGGCACAGGCCTCCTCCATTTCTGTTAAGACTTTACTATTAGTGTTTAGTTCTTTTGCTCACTTGTTAGAGCATTCATTGACAGGGCAAGATGTATTGGTTTAAATACTCTCAGAAGAGAAAAGAACTGTATGTTGGCTTACCACCCGCCCCAGGGAGCTCTGTGGCTGCGGAGATGTTATAGCTTTTCTGTGTTGAGCCAAGTGTGGAAGGTGTACTTTCAGGGACCTCCCAGTTTGAATGACCATAATTAAAACAGTCTGGGAATACATCCTTTTGTGGCTTTAAGAGGGGTCTAGGTAGGAGTTAGGTGCCTTTGTACTACGAGGGTTTAAATAGCTTGGGCCAAACTTGGAGCCAGAAGACATTGCCGGGAAAACTCCTAGGCAATAAGGGCACACAGACACCTCTTGATTAGATGAGAACATGGTATGGGTTTTGAGACTGAGTCTTGGATTCTGATAGCGACTGTACTGGAGAGAAGCCCAGGAGCCAAGGCCTACATTTCAACTAAAGCTGTGTGCTTGGCTTGTATTGACTTGGTACCAATAAGGATAATAAACCTAGCCAAGGTGAGGCACTAGGAATAGTGACTTGGATGCATGACTAGCCCGTTCAGGTGTTTCTTCATGCCTGACAGCATGTACAGGTATATGTGGACTCTAGGAATCAAAAAGTGGGGAAATCCAGTGGGGCCTAATTCCCACTGATTTTAATGAAAGCTGGTCTGTGTGCTTGTGAAAAATCTCATAACAAGCATCAAAGATCCAGAGGCAAAACAAGACCAATCAAATCGAGCTTCTCTGGCAATTTAGGCAACAAATGTCTTGATTTCCAAATAGGGACAGGACTGGGGAACTGGAATGGGCACCTCCAAGTTATCAGATCTGAGTTTTGGCGTGGTTAGGGGCATTCTGTAGGTATTTGGCCATATTGCCTTCTAATCCTATATGTTTTGTAAGGTGGATATAGGCCCTTTAAAAAGTATTGTGGTTTAGCAGTTTAATATTTTGCACTTCTTCGATAAGTTTATTAGAATGACTTCATAGGTATTTACTTCAGTATATAGCCTCAATTTAAAATCTGTAATTATGAACCTTGGTCATATGTCAATGTGTTTTGGAGTTAGTTATAAAAGATTATACTTAGGGGTGATTTCATTGTGGTTACTGAAGTTATTTCATCATTAGCAAAACACATTTTAAATGTTATTTAGACTTTATATGGTAAGAATCACTGTGACTTTGGGGTAATTCATGTAAAAGTCATTAAGCGAATTTTCACAGTCAAAAAAATAACGGGTATAGAAGTTTCATGATGGTTAGAGAGCAAAGACAAGGGAGACCATGGAAGGTAAGCAGCTCAATAGCAGTACACCTATGTAATTTAAAATGGGCCAAACATTAACATTTTCAACAATTTAATAATGAATGTGGATTCTAGATCTTCAGGGAAAGAAAGGGGTGTCTTGAAAGGTAATGGGAGAACACCGCTAGGAAGTCAAATCCTCTTGCTACAGGCAGATCAAGCATGGGTTTTAATATTTTCAAGACAGACTGCCTCCGTTGGTAGCAGTCTCCAGGCCCTTTCAGTCCAAAGAATGCCTGATCACAATGAGGACACTGCTAATCCAAGTGTTTAGTAGCAGAGGTGGTGCTTTCTACTAGCACCTGTTGGGTTTTGCAATGCAGCTGTTCCATTAATATATGGTACAAAGGCACAGAAATGCTCACGTTTCTCTGTAGGTTAAAGCCAGACACCAGGAGGTGAAAATCATCTCAGAGTTAATCATCTGAGCTACCTGTTCTTACATCTTTATAGAGCAAGGAAAAGGGTCTTTTTTTTACAGTGCTTATTGTTGTCTTGTTATTAACACCCCCCAAAAAAATCCAGTAGTAACTAGCCCCCAAGCTTCTAGGTACAGCAGGCAACTTTTTGTTGTACCATAAAATAATAGTGTCATGCTTATTTTTTTTATCTGTGATTGTACCATGCATCTAAAACATAAATGTTCATTTGGGGAGGTACCATCAACATTAAAAGTGAGTATATTGCAAACAGCAACACTGAAACATCATTTTGGCATCTAGAAATACTTGCTTCAGGATATTGCCTTTTATCGTGAGTGCTCTGGGGAGAGAGTCTTGAATTTGATGTACAATTTTGTCATCAGCAACTATATAAATACTTTAGTCCTGTTGGAATCATCTCTTTCTCTGGCTCAGTGAATTGTACAATCTTGTAAGGGAATGGACTCTAAAATAGACCTCATGAGTCTGGTCTTGCAGATACGCTTAAAAGAGTCGGTTACTTTTAAAGGATAATCCTATTACAGGCACTGACATTAATCACTCTAGTAAGAAATCCAGATCGTACATATATTTAAAGTCTTAAATTTAAAAACCTGATGCTTGAGAATAAAAGATTTTTCTGGAAGAAATGTGTTTCAGGGCATCTCTTCCTCCAATTCAGGAAACTCACACTGTAATAAGGAGCTGGGTGTATTTATCGTGGGATAGAAAGGAAAAGAACTGTATGTTCATCTTTAAAAATAAAGCTCCCTGAGGAGAAGCGTTTACAATTTAGTAAAATCAGCTCAAGGCTGTTAACATCTTAGGTGCTGTTGGGGAACAGCATCACTCCACTGAAGGAATAGCTGTTTATGCTCTTTCGACAAATATTAATGACCTGAAGGAGAGGAATGTGTGCATGCACAAATGCGTACACACATGCCTGGCTTGAACATCACCTCCCAGTGTGCCCAAGTCTAAGTGAATGGAAAATTGCCTATGGACTGTGACAGATGGGCTAGCACAGATTTTGTGGGAATAATTTAACCCTGTTTGCCAGAGGTCACCGTTCCTACAGCAGAAGCGGCTCTCCAACACCGGCTCAGTCACAGGCAGCGCCGGTGTGTCGGAGCCCTGAGACAGTGGGGTCTATACTTCTTTCCAACTCCCCTGAGCATGTGGCCTGTTCTAAACTCCTTTAAAAATATATAGAAAAGACACAGTATACACACATACTTACACATGTACACACACACACAGAGATGAGTACGTGTGTGTGTATGTATATGCATATAGTGAGCATAAGAGCTACCGTCTGAATTTATCTGAAAATAGCTGATTAGCATGCTGGATGGATGGGCAAGAGTTGTTTAGAAGCAGAAAAGCAATTAGCAGAATAGAATAGGACATTGCAAATGTTAACTTGGGGTAGAGCTGTTCCTGAATTTTAGCTGCTAACTTACTTACTTAAATGATGATGATGTGTTAAATTGCACTACTTTTGAATTAGCTTACCTTAAGATCTCCATTTTAGCCCTACAGACTTCTAGCAGTCTAAGTCTTCAATAACAACAAAAAAATCCATAAGTTGTTAATCTGTTAAAGGAAAAAAATCAACATTGATTCCCATATGAAGCTCGCTCTTTGATGCAAGGGGGCAAGTTTCAGGTTAACAGGGAGGTTGTGAGCTTAATCTTATTTGGAAGGCTCACAAGAAGCAAAGACAAAAGTTTGAATTTGCTTCTCGTTGGGGGAACCTGCTCTGGTTGTCACACACTTACCCCCTTCATTGTCATTGTCTGTCCCAAGACTCATCCCTGCCCACCTTCCCCTTACTGTCATGCTCACTGGTCTTTCTCTATCTCATTGTAGAAAGTGCAAATTGTTGTGACTGTTTTGGACTATGACAAGATTGGCAAGAACGATGCCATCGGGAAAGTCTTTGTGGGCTACAACAGCACCGGAGCGGAGCTGCGGCATTGGTCAGACATGTTGGCCAACCCCCGGCGGCCCATTGCACAGTGGCACACCTTACAGCCCGAGGAAGAGGTAGATGCCATGCTGGCAGTCAAGAAGTAAATTAAATTAAATTAAATTATGAAGAAGAAAAAGAAGAAGAAGCCTTTCTGCATTTGCCCACATAGTGCTCTTTAGCCAGTATCTGTAAATACCTCAGTAATATGGGTCCTTTCATTTCCAGCCATGTGTTCCTGACACAGATCAGTTGTACTTTAAAATTCCTGTTTTAATTTGCACAAATTTAAATGTAGAAAGCCCTCTAAAGGCGCTTCATTTCACCACTGCCCCCAAATCTACTCTTCTTTTAAGCAATATGATGTGTAGATAGAGCATGACAGAAATTATTTATTGTATCACACAGTTGTATATATACACCAGTATGCTGAGAATTTATTTCTAGTTTGTGTATTTGTATGTTGTAAGCGTTTCCTAATCTGTGTATATCTAGATGTTTTTAATAAGATGTTCTATTTTAAATTATGTAAATTGACTGAGATATAGGAGAGCTGATAATATATTATAGGGTAACTATTGTATCGTCTGCATTCCAGAAAAAAAATTCCAACTTGTAAGGCACTAGTAGTGTTACACTGACATCTTAAAGGACAACTTAAATCTGAGCTTTCAACTGGACCATCCTAATAACACGCTACACGTTCACAGTGAATCTTGGAGGGGCAAATCCAATTGGGTAGACTTCTTTCACAGGCAACTTAGCATGATCTGAGCAGCTCCATGGCTGACCTCAAGGAGATGTAGCCAGAAGGCAGGATGTAATTTTTTTGTATATATTCCAAAGCAAACACATAACAGACTGAAATGGCTTTAGATTGAAAGTTGAGGAAGCGGTTCCACAGGAGGCAACGATTTCATCTAACATACAATGACAGACCATTGCAGAGGTTGTGCAGGGAGGGGGGGAAGGGAGGGGGGAGACGCAGCAGTAGTGAAATGCTGCCATGAAAACAAGAGTAGCTCTCCGTTATCACCTTTATACAAAATTTGCATACTGTGAATTCCATCCATGATTTCACATTATAATGAGTTTGCACATTAGACTTTGTAACAAAATATTTTATTATACTAACTCAGTTTAGAAGGAATGCAGAATATTTTTTAGACACAGCCGTGTGAGTTTATTATACAAAATAGTTTCATGGTAAACAGACAGTATTGTAAACCCATCAGAAGATAACAAAATTTAGCCATAGTTCTAAATGCACTTCAAAGTAAGCCAAAAGAGAACAGCTAGTGACCTTTTATATACTATTTATACTTAAGTTTTAATTTGTCCTTTAAAAAAAAGTGAAAACAAAGAACAAGTTCTAGAAAACTGAAGCAACCTCTTCTGTATACTAGATGCTCGTTTCAGGAGGAGTTTTTAAATGTTTTCAATGTTATTATGTAGTAAATGGCACTATTATGAAGCTATTAGTCATTCCATAAGAGTCTTGAAAGACTGCTCTGTGTATCACTGTGACTGCCGTGTGTGCTTAGAAATGTAGTTTTCTCAGTGGATAGCAATCAATTTATTCTGTAGTGATATTGTAATAATACTGCCATTCCCTTCTACTGCACTGCCGAAGGAATGCATAGCACAAGCAGTTCTAGTTATTACGGACCAATTTAGGACTGGCGAGCTATGCAGGGGACAAGGATGCTATATTGAATGGGTTGACCACGCAGCATTTTGTCAAGCCCTGTGCAATACTCTACATTTCCAACCTCCCTCGCCCCACACCGCTTTACTGTAGATAGTCATCTTACAGCTAGCCAGCATGTCATCTCAGCTTGTACCATCTCATCAGGTCATTTAGGGCATCACTTCTTTCTATCTCATGTACCGTCCTTTGAGGCCCCTCGCTTATCTTTCCAAGCTGTGAATATATTTATAATGCTTTGAAGAGTTCATTATTTTCAGCAACGCAAACTACCCCAGAAATGTGGAAATGCTATACCTTTTGGAGGGAGGCATGAGAATTAACCATCGATGTTCTTGTCAACTGTGTCTGACAGAAATTACTGAAAACAAAGAACAAATATGAATGTACTTAGAGAACTGCGTACTGAACGCTGAATTCCACAAGCTCCCTTGGGGCTCTGCTTCTGGGAGAGGTGTGACAGTCTGAGAGGTCAGTGCAGTGATGGCCAAGCACCAGTGTTTCAGTACATTTCAGGGTAAAGCAAAGAAGCGGGAGGAGAATAAAAGTCTGGATCTCTCCCCACCTCCAAGAGAATAGCAAGACCCATTTTCTTTCTTTTTTTACACGAAACATGGGAAAAACACAAGCGAGACATTTTCTGATAGAAACAGGCGCATACATGCAAAGCATCAAGCTGGAATACTTTAAAATCTTACCCTTAAGGACCAAACCCCACCAAAGAGAAGAAGTAGACAGTCAGCTTTCCAGCATAAGAGCTTCATGGTCTCCAACTTTCGGTTGTTCATTCAGGATAGCTGCAGGTTCAAACTGCCAGGACTGACTCATTGTGTTAAGGGATTCTTAATGCTTTCTCTTCCTACACTGCCAGACGGAATGTCACCACAGAACTGGTTTGTGAGGTACGATGATTCTCAGAGACCGAACCTGCCATGTGACCAAGATGACATTTTCATCCTCAAAGAAGCCACATGTACCTTTCTGACAAAGCTGTGTGAAGTATTAGAATCTGATGCTGTAGAAAGATCCTAGTTGCCTTTGTGTATATTTACTGCCTGCTTGAGTGTTTCTCTGTGTGGGTTTTCTCTGTATCTTGTAGAAATGTTTGGGGTGTTTTATCCTGCCATATTGCTCGTGGCCCGCGAGCTGACAACTTTAGCCGTACTTTACCTTCATTTTTGATGAGGTGGTTTATATTTTGTTTCACTTTGTGTAGTGACTTCCCACAGTAGTTTTCCAATTGTCGTTAAAATAACATACATATTACACAGATATTCAATAAAAATGTTTTATTTCCTGTTGATGTTCTAGCATTTCTCTTTCGATCTAAAATTTTGAAAAGACATTTCAGTCTAGGACTTTAGCACAATCATAAACTTTGAAGTATCACAAGTGTAATAGCACAGCACTTTTCGAGGGGCTGTGAAAAGCTGCTTTGATCAGTGTGGTCCACTGTAAGACAATCACAGCGGGCAGTGCTCCAGCAGATGAATTCTCCACCTCTATTGCAGATGAAGAACTATTACCTTGTCTTCCCAAGAGCCTGATTACCTGCCTCCAAAACATCATTATCAAAACATGGACTAGTTTCTGTACCACGACAAAAACTCCCAAGTAGTTGCCTACGCATCTGTACTCTTCAGGCCAGTTGTGTTAGAGCCGTGGTTGAAGTTTTCATTTGGAGAAAGATGGTATATTTTAACCTACATTCAGGAGCTACTTCTAAGCTGCCCATAAAATGAAGCTTCTTGTAGAACAAAGATCATTAAGAGCTTAAACTGTATAGGGGGGAGGGAGAAGGTGTGGGAGGAAGTAAATCTGCACACAAAAAATGATTGAAAAACGTTGTGCTATGAAACAATTTAAGTTCCTGAGCCTATGAAGATAAACAGCTCAAAAACCACAAAAAAAACAACAAAAAAAACAAACCTGTAGCCATGTTTGTTTTATGTAACCGTTTTCCACAGAAATCCCTCCCACCCTTGCTTTTTCCCCAGTCTCAAGAGAAATATGCCCATTCCTTTGAGGAGCCACACTGTGGTAATTACCAATATGCACCAGTTTAACCACAACCGTTGCTTATACGAGGCCTTACTAGGAGTTAGAGCTCATTGTAAGGATTGTCAGGGTTGACCCTTTTCCCTGTTGCCATCGCTCAGAAAGTGCCCTCTTTTCTCCCAGCTATTTTTTTATACTGTCTAGAGTCAGAGAGCACCAAATGGGCTGATGCCATTCTCAGAGAGCGAGAGCAGGCCGACAGCTCCTGGTGGGCCTGGTGACTTGCAGAGCAGTTACTCTTCCAAAACTGTGAATGACTGGAGTCTGTGGCTTTACCGATCTGCGGAGAGGCGATGCCTGCTTGGCCTGCAGGAGCTGAGGGAACGCTCCTGTAGTGCAGTGTAGTTCCTCATAGATACAGGCAGGTACCGCATTGCGGCGGTGTGAGGTGCTGCTGCTCCCTTCTCCGCCATCTAAGATGTTGCATGGTCAAACCAAGCATGTACTTCCCTAAGAGCAGCAGTTTGCTTAAGAGCAGACCCAAATCTATCAAAGTCAATAAATAAAAATACTTTGATCTAGGTTCTATATGCATCAGCCATTTTTGCAGGTCTTGAGAATACCAAAATAACATCTTTGTCAATCAAAAACAGTTCTTCCAACAGGGCTAATCAGTTAAAGCCAGTGGTTACAACTAATGTACGGAAAAATGCTTCATATAATAGCTGTTACACTAAGTGGGGAAAGTAGCAAAAATTACCAATTTTATTCAGCTCATTTAACCCCTAATCAACTGTCAAGAAAAAAATTCTTCCCAACTGACAGACTGTTACCAAAGCAAAAGATCTACAACTCTCAATCACTTTTCACGTCATGAGTCAATGAAAGTTGATTGCCTGTTAGTTATGCAAAGCAAGAATTAGAACATTATATTTTCTGATTACTTTAACAGTCAATTCCCTTATTTATTTATGCATTAGCATTTTCACTCCAGGCTGCCAGTTCAATTTCTTACATACATACTGACCTGCTTTTCAGAACATACACCTACCAAATTCATGTCCAGCCCCTATTTTCAGTGTCAGCTCTGACACTGTTCTTCATCCAGCCATTGAATGGAAAAAGGTTTTTCTATACATACCACAAGAACTTTTAGCCAGTCTTATTTACATTACCTTATATGCAGTAAATCTTTTTATATTCAATAGAGAGAATACTTTTAATATTGTTCCAAAAGTATGTGACAAATTAAAGCAGAGAAGAATTTAAGTCTATGTGGTACTTTTTGACTGACACCTGCCGCAATATTTTCAGACACAACAGCCATACAAAGAGATTTATTTCAAGATTATGCTGTATTCAACATAAAAAAGAAAGTTCTACAAACTAGGGAATGATCTAGACATCCTTAATGGAGCTTATGAAGAGGCCAAATAGGCTGGGGAAGTGAAGACAACTCTTCCAGGCTTTTGAGGTGAAGTTGGAGTGAGCAGGTAGTATAGACTTTTTGTTCCATGCATGCGGTGTGCACTAATGTACTGAGATTTTGGGGAAAGAAAAAAAATCCAAAACCTCACAAATCAAAACAAGAGTTTCATCTTCTGGCAGAACCAGTCTCATCAGTTTGACAGCTCACATTTAATTTCTGTCAACTATTCATATCTTTGTACACTCTCCTATTACTTAGAAAAAGGAAAGCACTCAGTAGGCAATGCACTGATGCACCAAATAGAGCCAACATCAGTTTTTCTCATGAACAAAAAGACCAATACACAAAAGTGGCAAAATATTCTCTGCTGCACTAATCAAGATTATCCCACAATCCTGCACAAACCTCCCGAATTTTGCTCACATTCTCCCAGAGACCAGGAGCAGCTCTCTTCTTGTATTTGTTGTATTCACATACATCTACCTTAGTCTAGAAGATTTCATGACTCTTTCCTAAGAAGCAGCAGCAGCCACTGGCACCAAAAGGTTGTTACAAAACCTTGGCATGGATCTGTCATCAAAGAGTTCCAGATTGGGTTTAGGCTATATTTGTCCTCTTACTTGGACTATTCATCACAAGGAGGAGGATCTCTGGCTTTAAATCCTGATCGAAAGCCTGACAGGTTGGAACCTGGAATGCAACCCTGATGTCAATTATTTCACACTTAGTCAGAAATTTTATCATCCACTTGTGTTGGTGAAAGACAGACTCTGAGGCTCAGTAACTTGTATTCTGCTCAAGATGGTTTTTTTCTTCATGAAACTGGCAATATTATTAAACCAAATTTTTTTAGATAGTTTCTGTGACATTCACAGAGTCAAAACGGCTTTCATATATTTTCTTTCCTTCAAGTACAAGGTTGCCTCTATTGTTTAACTCGGTTAAGAATTTCTAAGCCACTGTTCAAAGTTAATAATAAGTGGCTAAACTGTTTAATGGGCTTTAACTCCTTGTTTCCTTGGAGTTTCACTCACTCCAACCATACACCATGATCGGACAGTGACTGATACACAAAATTCCTCATAGAAAGCTATCAAGGAAATTAAGTAATCAGAGTGACAGATAGAGTCTTTTTCATGAATTAAATGAAGATTAAATGGGCAAATTTCAACATAGTGCAAGATTATGGGTGGGGTGCTAAGAGGTTCA